TAAACATTAGTAAAGAAAACTGTCTGTTGAGAGATAAACATATTACGTCTTGCGTAATTATCCATTCATAACGTTTAACTTTGCCTTATATAATGCCACTTAGACAACCCATGGTTTCACTTTCTCGTCTATTGTTTTACTGTATCTACAGTTGACAGCTGATGTTCACAGAAATTAGATATAGTCCCTCACAATCAAGCAGCCCTTAAAACGTTATGCAGCATATTATGGTTTGCTTTTTTCTTCTTATTATTATAATTTTATTACTTTTTACACGGAGAATTATATTATACATCTAATGATATTACTAATATGTTTTACATGTAAATTTCTCATTTGCATTCCGCTTGTTTGTTTGTTTATCAGCGTATTCATATAGAATGTACATTGTTTACATTTATATATTCCTATGATTTCACAATGTCCACAGCGACTGAGGACTATCTGGCATGTTCGCTACATTTGGATTATATTTGTTTTATTATGTTGACATGGGTGAGATACTGTTACGTTACATCAAATGTTTAAATACTTTAATTCAACTTCATGAAACATGATTAAGTTCGCTTAAGAAATCAACTTTCTCTTCGTTGATTGTAATCGTGAACGGCTGTCATGACAACAATGTTTACTGATGATGTCTACTGTACATACAAAACATTGTATATCCATACTTATTCATGATTATACGTCATAAACGGTGATGTTTATAGCATTAAACTTTTGCTTCATAAAATGGCAATGACGCACCCATTATTACGAGATATTAAAGCAAAACACTTACTATTGCAATTGTCTTAGACTTGAGACAATCATTTTCTGAAAATATTGAGTCGAAATATCACTATATTGCGTATTACTTAATCATCTTGTAATGAGATCTAGACATAAACGAAATTCAAGGAAAAACAGAGCTTTTTTTCATTTACTTTAAGGTATACCAAAATTGTGTATCAAGTATATTTTGCCAAACGTAAATTATAGAATGCGCTGGCAAGTTGTAGTGACTAAGTGTTAATGTAGACTCTCATTATGGTCGCGTGATGTACTGGGTTGGTAAGGACTGTTTTATACATGCTGTCAGCAAATTTAGATATCGCGTATGGATGTGATGAAAACAGCACGATAAAAGATTCATAGAAAACATTTCTTTTCCGTGTGTTTAAAAGAAAAGCAATATGTATCTACATGTGTTGCTGTTATGTTCAGGAGGAAGAAATAAACAACTTTTTTATCGTCAACATTTTTTTTATTTTTTTTTTTTTTAGTTTCTTTTTTCACAGATGTCTGAAATCGACCCCCGACAAAATATATGTTTTTCAATGTATCAACTGGCAGAATAAATCATTATTTTACACTCACTGGACCAGGAAGTTGATGCCAGACTTTCCGTGACAGTAATTTTTTCTCTAATCTCAAGTGCCTTTAATGAGTCAAAGTGAGAAAAAGTGAAACTAGTGCTACAAAAAGAGTGAGATTCCATGTAACAATTTGTAGCAGTTGCATATTTGTTGCATATTGCTTATATTTAGGCTGATACGCATGCGCAGCATCAGGGTGCGAGCGGTAATTTATGAATTAGATCAAGACCGCACTGTTTTTTTTTTTTTTTTAATATTGGAAAATAGAACGTTTTATATCGTTTTCTCGTAGTGTTTTGTTAATATTTTGTCGCTTTAATGGCATAAGGTGATTTCATATAACCATGTTTTGAAATTGCTTTACCCCTTATTACATACCAATGTACTAAAATACTGAATTAACATTTAAAGATGGTTATGAAAACGTGTTGCATGAAGTTTGAATCGGTCAAAATACTGGCCGAGAGGATATAAACTTCATTTGTTAGAAATGGTCGTGTCTATAAACCTGTATACCTTGTCATAGCTGTGAAAAATACCAGTGTTTAACTGTTTACATTAGTGAAATTGTATCTCTATGAGGTTTTCTTAACGGATTTGAAATGCAAGGACGACCAAAAAGACCTAACTGATTTCCTTTGAATATCTTATATACATGCTGTTTGGTTGTTTTTTGTTGGAATAACAAAACCCTTTTATCTGAAATACAGTTCAACCACAATTCATTTTTGATTACAGTACAGAGAAGTATATATATTCATACTTTTGAACAAACACTTGAGAAAACGTTATGTGCCCTCAAAGAACAGGTATACTTCCGGGTCGTTGTACACTTGAAGTATACAAGGAAGTTTTAGGTCAGTTAAAACAAAATTCTTACTTATTTATGCCAGACGTGATAAAATAACACAATAATGACTATAATTAAACTTCCGAGTTGTTGTACAAAGGAAATGTCAAGTCAGTTGATGGATTCGTTTCCCTGACTTTTCTATGGCAGGCTTGTATTTATTTCTTTTCTTTCTTCATAGAAATACTATGGTGATACCATTTCTTTTATCTTTCTTAAATGCAGACTATGAGTTACTTTACGTTAAGATTTGATAGATGACAAAATAGTAAAAACTGCGGTTTAAGGCCTGTATACAAGTGAACTTCAATTCAGATATTCGGACCGTGTCCTGAAAATAGACACAAACCAAGATGTTTACTCTTCTTGTGTATTCATACGTGATGTAGTTGTTTGCAAAGGACATTTCAGGTATAAATGAGCGACAGGATTGTTTTAATACTTTGTTCCCAAAACGACTCATTTTACTAATAACTTAAGTCACGGGTTCCCGTTTATGGCCCAAAGATTATGCTTCCTAGTCTTCCTATTTAAGTCAAACAGCTGCGCATATGTCAGTACAATGTATATTGGTACCGAAGGTGACCGGCGGCCAGCTTTGTTCACCAGGGAGATGTCTAGGTTTATAAATTCCTACATCGACTGAATCAATGTATAGTATAAAGTATCATTTACTACAATTTGACGTAGGAATTACATATAGACGAATGAAACACAGAAAGTGAATACTACAATCGAATATCTAACAGAATTACGTTTTGGTGGACGACTCACCGAATTTGTATTCATACGCTTGACCAGATGTTGATGATAACTATTACAGGAGCTATGTATATCAGAGACGTTTTATTCTGTTCCTCTTCCTCCAAACCAGGAGGTCTGAAATAAGGTACTTTAAGATTGTTTACAGACTGACACTCAATTATATTTATCTTCATACAGCCTTGTAAAAAACAGAGTGTATTGTTAAGTCGATATACAATCCATCTAAACATGAGATTTGTTCCTAGGCTATACTGCTATATTACTTACTTTGAACTATCTATGTACGTAAATATGAGCTCTTTATTTATGATTCATCGATGGAAAACAAAGAAAATGACCAAGTAAACTTAAATCAAATTCGCGTGAGGAGACATAAAAAACTTTTACTGAACCCGTTTAAAGAGGAAATATTTTCGTAATCTTGTACGAAGGTCATGTTATATATTTGGAGCAATATGAAAACCGGTTTCCATTAAAACTCATTGTAACATTTCCATATGTTGCGGCTACTTGCATTCTCAACATTTGTTCCTGAGCAGCTGTTTCGTATTTCTGATAAATGTCTTGTTTAAGCTAATTTTGCTTGAGATTGTCACACATTTGTTTCAAACTGGTAATTATACGCAGTGTAAACGTTCTTATATCACATCCAATCAAAACTTATGTGTGACGTTTCGATAATTACACTGTCATCTTCATGAGAGGTGTGGAATACTTTTTCCATGGGAAGAAGATTTAACGTATCGACAGGACATTCCGGCGGTGCTAAAATCCTACTTTTATTTCTGGATATCAACATTCCTGCATCCCCAACCTCTGGTCTTTACACGTCTTAGATGATTCAATATACAAGATCCTGTTCCCATACGCACGATTTTTGTCCTGCTAGAAGTCACCAACTGATAGACAATTTTTTAACACAGATTACAGTCTTCATAGTGATTTCAGTGAGAAAAAATCTATTTCATTGTGCAATATGAGGCTGGGCGTATTTGATGCTCGTTAGTTTGCATATTGGTTCCGTGGTTGAACACCTTGTTCTCATTTGAGAATGTGGCACTACTTTCTTGGATTGAGTAAGGGTTTTATTGCATTTGAGATTGGATGATGACTACGTTGATCTGTTGGTATTTTCTTCTTATTATTTGTTTACATCAAGCTGGAATATAACATGACGGAAACAGGACACGCTGAATTGAATTATACAATAGTGTAACTTCTGTACAACATATTTTCGTGAGTTTGCTTAATTTTTAATGTATTTGTAATGAAGATAAAATAAAACACCGCGGTAATCTGCTGAACGATATTTTTGCAGTTTCAATATTATAGGTAAATATCATTGAAATGTATGTTTATGTCTCAGAAGTCGAATTTATTTATTTGGAATAAACGATATTATCGTCAGACATTTGTAAAAGCTTATGCAATTACCTGAACAATCAGCAAGCCCGATTTTAGAAACATGATATTTAAGCCCGCAAAATATGTCTATAGTTAAGATAGAAAGATGGTTAACCAATGTATGTTGTTTTCAATACTTCCGTTTCAACCTTCGTTCTCGGGAATTTAATGATCGTGATACGTCGTGTAAGGTAATGGTAAGCCAGGAAAACCATAACAAACTCGTGAGTTTATTTCCAGCAGATAAAGTTTTAAAAATAACATATTTAATTGAAACTTCCAGCTTTATTGTCTGGCCTTAGTTGGCATGATATTAAAAGGAATAACGGGAAATTATAAACAAAATAAACAGAGATTATATATTACTAGAGGCACAGAAATAGTGATTGTTTGCTATGTGCACACATACACTCATGTCTATATATAGTCAATACTATATATGTGCACCAAAGCGTGGCAAAAATATGGGTAGTGTAAGGAAGACAAAGACGCCGTTATTGACAGTCATGGGGTTTGATTCTCTGTCAATGAACATATGTGCGTGTATATGAACAGTACATTCACGTCTAGCAATAACGTTTACACTTCCTTGTTGCTGTTAAATCGCCATTTTGTTAATAATGACTGTTACAAGAACTGTGTTTACCAGGGATGTGTTTCTGATCCTATTCATCTTCCTCCAAACCAGCAGATCTGAAAGTAGGTGATTTAAAGTTGTTTACAGACTGATTATAGCAATTTGACTGATTTACTTCGGTGATAGATTTGATAATTTAGCTAGATTACTGCTGTATGGGTAAAACCTTGTTTGCCTTGGTATTTGGGGGTACTTTGTAGAATTGAACATAACGTATTATATTGTAGAAATGTTGTACAATTACCATATGATACGTTTATTGCATGTGATTTTGACATTTGATGTCTACAGAGAAAAGTATTTTAGATATATATGTATTTACATATATGAATTACGAAAGTATTACTTTGCATCAATAATAATAAATAAATTATTTTTTAGCTTATTGTTATGATAAATAGATTTAATGACACCCGTTCCGCAGGGAGTGAAATTAGGAACTATAGGAGAACAGACAAGGGTTTCGCCGAGAGTTGAAACTTACCAAGTGATATATGTGTTTGCTCTTTCCTGTTGACTTACCTGATCGCAGGTGTGTCATTATTGAATTGTTTAAGATACAATACTTCCTCCACATCAGCAGATCTGAAAGTAGGTTGTATCAAGTTATTTACGGACTTGCACTGTTGAAGAGTACACACAAAAGACGTTGTACTTGACTGTGCGATCTTTAAGTTTCCTATGTTTGGAACATCTAATAAGATAAATAATATAAGACACTGAATACATGTTTCATCGTACAAATCATATCGATCGTAAAATGTTGCAGGTAATCTCGCTTTATTCAAGAATGCTTCGCAAAGTTCCGATAGTGGCAATACATGGACAGCCAGTAAAGTTGTGGATAACTGTTTGGATACAGATATTGGATCAAACTGCTGTACACATACAAAACCTAGAGCTCACAAGGAAGTCTGGTGGCGTGTAGATCTTGGAGAGTTAATGACTGTAGATAGAATCAAAATTTATTACAGAGGTGAGTATATCAGTCAACAATTATACTAAAAACGTATACATCAGATATACAGTTACGTCAAAGTTTCAAAACACTTACAGTTGATTAAAATACTTATATAGCTCCATATATTGTCCTTGTTGCCTTTACGATACAATACACACATATTTACCAGTTGCAGTACTGACCAGGACATACATAAGCTTAAACAAGCCACGCATTTACCATACACATTACTGATAATGATAAAACATCATCAAACAAGACACATATTCAATAAATACGTGCATCTCAAGAACAGACTTAGTGTTAAACATGACATAAGTGTAGCAGATACTTTATAGATAAATACAAAGACATAACAAGACACATAAATCAGTCACACTACTGACATGGAAAAAGACATAATTAATCAAGACATGTATTGACCAGAACACATTACTGAGAAGGACAAACAAATAACACGATACATGTTTACCAAACATGTTACTGAAATCAGCATATATATGAATGCACAAGTTTCATATATACTAAGCACATATCTGTCAAGGACAGAGTCGTTTTCAGATAAAAAAATATTTATCGGACACTTTACTGAAACGGAAATAGACATGATTAAACGAGAAAAAATAATCACCAGACAGTTTCAAAGACAAGAAAAGTCAAATATTTTATTAAGCACATTACTGACCAGAACATACGTGTGATTAAGACACATATTCGAACAAGTTAGTGCTAATGCACAGACATAACAACACACATATTAACAAGACATATTGTTTCCGTTACCAATCCAAAACAGGCCACACATTCACCAAATACAATACTGATAATAACAAAAAAAAAACGAGGTATTCATGAACAGGCTAAAACTTACATAAGCTATATCCGTTGTGTTGACAAATGTCTATATTTGATTTATAATACAGTGAACACAACGATCACACGAGCAACTGACATCTATAGACAAATTACCTCCCCTATATTGTGTTTACCAGAAACTAATTCAAACATTTCTGGTATGCCCATAGACATGGTATGATGAAATAAGATACGTATTTACCAGGCATACCACTAATAAGGACATAAACATTATTCAAAATAAAGCTTCAATAATTAACTCGCCATAATCGTTTTTATTTTGAAATATCATATATTATATTAAGAACCGAGTAAAATTATATCATTGGTGCAGCTATACCGCTTTCAGCTGTTAACGTGTCCATTCATTATTATTGAAAATATGGTTATAATTAGAAATCGGTTTACTTTCAAGTTATCAAGCAAAAACTGGTTTATTTAAGGCTCACAGTTCCCTTCAATTATTATCTAGCAAATAAAACATTTACAATCACAATAAGTACCGAGCAGGGAACGACCGGTATAAAATATAGTTTAAAATATAGATATACAACTATTTGCCTGTACTTCGAACGTAGCTGTAGATACAGTTTAAAGTATTGATTTATTATTAGTGAAAATGTTAACTATAACAGGAATATAGTTATCTTCCATCAGATTAGATTTATCTTTAATCCAATTCTGTTTGCCAATTAACTCAAAGATAGATAAAAGGGAATTTATCAACATGGTTCAATTATTTTCAGGAACGGACATGTGTGCTTTACTGTCAGTTATTAATTCCTTAAAGAACTCTATCGACATGATTAATGCAAGTCGAAACTGGCGTTAATTCTTATTTTAAATAATGAAATAAACATATCAAAGTAATTTTGCACTTGTATTGTACATGGCAGGTAGTTTCGCTGGTTATCTACGCAAATACTAGGTGCTTGCAAAAGCCGGTTATGTTTACTGAACTAAAATAATGTTAACATTTGTACTTATCCACTGTTTTTGGATTTTGAAGTCATCACACCTGTAGTACAAACACAACATACAACTGTGCATGTATTTTAATTGTGAATTAAATGATAACACTTTCATCTTTATTATAGACGGTTTTCAATGCAGACTTGCGGGTTATCATCTTTACCTGTCTAATACCACCGACACACCGACCCAAGGTGTCCTCTGTTATGAGGATAAGAGTATTGAAAAGACTGATGTACAGTTGGTGGTAACACATCAGTGCCCGTATGTAGCCCAGTATGTCACCGTCTACAACTATAGAAACAACACTAGGCAAGAATGGTATTCTGATTACGCTGTTCTGGAGTTATGCGAGGTACAGGTGTTTGGTAGGTATAACCTCGTTTGACATAATCTAGAATACGTCGCTTTCTAAAAACGGGATGATGCTAACAACTGAAATGTGTCAGAATATTGAACAAAATGTTGTAATTAAATGTTGTTCGGTTACTCTGGAGATCTAGGATAAATCATCTAAGACTTTAATATCATCTACTGAAAACAAGTTTTCTGCATGTTAGAAATATCTATCAAAGTTAAATATATTAAACATAAATCATGTTATATAACATAAATATACATGTGTATGTTTGGGTCTGTAGACACATGTAGAGATCTCAGCTCTTAACAATTGCAACCATTGGAATTTCGAGGACTGGTACGTGTAAGATTAGTCAAATTTTCTCAGTTTTTCGATCTTGATCTAAAAGGATGAACATGCATATCAACATATTTTATTGAATTTTTGCTTCATGTATATTTCCTTCATCCGCTTCCTTTTACCTGTCAAATCAAATTACTGTACCATCAAACTTCTACTTCCTTGTTTCTGTGCAAACAACGACTAAATTCGACTTGTAAAGTTGAGACTCTTATGTAGATATTAATCGCAGTTCGCTCTCAAGAAGACACAAAGCACGATGGTTTCATCATATTTTCAATGCAAATATCATTTGAAGATATTTGTATATTACGTCTTTAAAGTATAATGCATTAAAAAAAGAAGCAACATCGCAAGATTCGACACATTTGATAAATATTTTTACCCAAGCGGCATTAAAAAGTCACACGTTTTTGTGTATCCCCTTAAATACATCAATTACCTGATAGAAACACGTTTTAGTTTTCATAGCCATAAGAAATTAGATTGAGTCTTATTTAAGTCAGGTATCTGTTTACAGCTATTGTATAAATCACTTTACACTGTACAATTCTGGGGAATATTAGACCTATTTTGGTGTAACCTTCTTCTATGTACAAGTGTTACTTTTGTGCTTTATCGGTGTTACCTTCATCCTTTATAAGTGTTAGCTTCCTCCTTCACTGGTTTTACCTTCATCTTTTAACAGTATTACGTTCATCCTTTATCAGTGTTACCTTCATCCTTTATCAGTGTTACCTACATCCTTTATGAGTTTACCTTCATCCTTTATCAGTGTTACCTTCATCCTTCATCAGTATTACGTTCATCCTTTACCGGTGTTACCTTCATCCTTTATCAGTATTACCTTCATCCTTTATCAGTGTTACCTTCATCCTTTACCGGTTTTACCTTCATCCTTGATTAACGGTGTTACCTTCATCCTTTATCAGTGTTACCTTCATCCTTTACCGGTGTTACCTTCATCCTTTATCAGTGTTACCTTCATCCTTTATCAGTGTTACCTTCATCCTTGATCAGTATTACCTTCATCCTTTATCAATATTACCTTCATCCTTTATCAGTATTACGTTCATCCTTTACCGGTGGTACCTTTATCCTTAATCAGTGTTACTTAAACTCCAACTAGGGTAACCTTTATTTATAACCATTGTAAACTTCATGCTTTATCAATTATTTTTATTTCAGGTCATCTCTATTTTGGGTATACACGTTTGCGGTGGTATTTTTTTTTTTTTTTTTTTTTGCGCTTGTGTATGAATGAGTACCACAGTATTCAGGCAAATGATAAGTATGAAAAAAGTTTAAGGGGTATTTAATTACGTGCTACCTTTAACAGACGCAAACAGAGAGAAATTAAATCCTCTGTGAATATTACCAACTACACAATATATTAAAACCTCTTCCATCTAAACACAACAAAATTGTAATAAGTCATCTGTCTCAAATACCTCTGGTCTTTATTTCTAGGGTGCAAAACATTAGGTAACCAATCATTTTACAATGTTCAGTAATTACATAAGGTACCAGGTATATTTTTCATGTACATGTAAAGCAATGAGACACATTTTAAAGTAAAAATGTGGAGAATGAAAGGAGTCTGGGCAGCCATTTTGTTGGATAATTTTAACACATGATATTCAAAAGCTCCTGAATACCACTTATATCAAGTCATGTCGTGTTTTCAGATTCTCGTGGGTTCTTAAAATGCACAGCATTATTCAAACCAAGAGTTTTCTTGTAAGAACAAGAACGAACATCTTCCACTTAACAGTTGAAAAGCTACAGTTCTGAAAAGATATTCCTGAAAATAGGACACCCTTGATTCTAATTCTCCTAATTTTGTGGTGAAGGTGTCAAATTATGAAATCTAAATGTTAGAAAACTAAGTATACATTCATAGGAACATTGACAAACAATTAAGCAACATTAAAGCAGGGCAATCAAAATCTTGCATGTACACTATTCAATAGATGCTAAAAATAAGGGAAAGCAGTACTACATAAAGTTTACCATACTTCAAATCATACATTAATGAATGTACATGCAGTGTAGCTAGATTAGGAACCAAGGAAGTCTCAATTTTGGTAGTGCCAATCAAATTTCCACTAAACATATAAGTTTTGCTTATGGGGAATGAGGAACATGAATTTTTAAATCGATATACAATACCTCTTTCCTTTTGGAATTATACTGATTGCCCTTGCTTTGCCAACAATACACTTAACATGTCGGTGCTTAAAATCTGGTTATGATAACAGTAATGTCAATTGGTGACGATTTGGTGTAACGTCGCCCCGTGCGGTGTAAGATAACACTTCTCGGTGACGATCTGGTGTAACGTCGCTCCACAAAGGTTTCAGTACTGATTTGATGTAAATGTCATTCCCTTACTGTATAAAGTAACACTTTTAAGTGAAAATTTAGTGTAATGCCGCAACCATGCGGTGTTAGGTAACATTAAAGGTATCGATTTGGTGTAAATGCATTCCCTCACAATGTAAGGGTAACACTTGTTGTTGAGATTCTGGTGTAAAGTCACTCTCTAACGGTGTAAAGTAACACTTTTAGGTGATAACCTGGTGTAAAGTCACTCTTTTAAGGTGTAAAGTAACACTTTTAGGTGATAACCTGGTGTAAAGTCACTCTTTTAAGGTGTAAAGTAACATTTTTAGGTGAAAATCTGGTGTAAAGTCATCCCCTTTCGGTGTTAGATAACGCATTTACACCGATTTAGGATTGAAGTAACACAAATGTCGGTATACTATACACTTTTCTTTGTTGTGATTAACTTTACATCAGAAATGGTGTAACCATAAATTTTACACTAAAATAGGAGTGAATTTACATGTTTAAAACATCATATATGGATGAACGTTACACTAAAAGTGTAGTTGTTGATGTCTAGAGTGTATAGATGCTGTATTATCAGAATATCGAACATTTCTACGTACTTGAGAATTAAGTCAGGGAGGTCTTTTCTTGCCTGAATATTGATAAAATTGCATTGGTCTGAGGTGAAACAAACTTTCAGTCATATCTGTTTAAATATGATTTCAAACATGTTTGAGCGTAAAACTAAAAGTTGAAAACGTGTATTGAAATGTCTTCGACATCATAATCTAGCCGGAATACGAGGACTAGATTACCTATATATAAAATGTCCGTTATAACTTCTCCCAGTTCTTCCGGACTGAGATCGATTGAACAGATAACCGAAAAAAAATTAATCAATGGTGTTTGAAGGTTTGTACAATATCATGTGGAAGTAATTTAGCATTCAAGACACAAATTGATCATTGCAAGTAAGGTGTAAACAGAACAAATAACCACATATGGATTAAACACGTTTGGCTGGCTGGCTGGCTGACACAAGTTGACGAACTAGCATTTCATGTACTCACAGAAATTAAAACACACGAAACGATTTTAAACAATTTATTGGTTTGTAGAAGATTAACCATTTTAACAGTTATTTAATTTGAAATAAGCAATACATTTCCAAACATCTATGAGGTTGTCAGTTTTACATATTTATCAGTTTTATTTCCATACAGCTCATACCATTACGCCCCTACTGATATCCATTGTATTCATCGCAATAGCTCTTTTATTGTGGTAGACACAAGTCAGACCAAACCGTGAATACAGTTTATGGTATGTACTTACATATCGCTAAAGCTGGCATCCCCTTTTGTGCTTTTATTGGAAAATAACAACACTCTGATGAAACTCATACCATATACAAACAACACTTATTATGTAACCTCTTTATTTCTGTCGGCTTAGAATTATTTTTTAATGAAAAGGGACATCATTGACTGCGGTTTTCTGAAAGACAAACATCGCTAAAACTGATTAAACACCGACACGTTTTGTTTTATCCTGAAACAGGCTGTCAGGTAGGGAGGTACGGTGATGGAGACTGTGAGAATCTATGTCCAGACAATTGTTATGGCGGCAACTGTAATCCTACGACCGGATCTTGTTTGTGTAAGTACTAAAATTAAAAAACTAAATTAAAAGATAACGCATTTTATTGTATTTTCCATTCCATTAAATTCTTAACCTCTACATGAGCTCCTGAATTGCTCAATCTATGACTTTTTTGTGGGTTTGGCTATTCATTTTCTTCGATTGTTTGGCGTTCTATATTTCATCTATTGTGCTTTGTTTTGTATCCGATATTTTACTTTTTATGTTGTTCAAAGATCTTTACGTGTGGTTAAAAGTATGCTATTTTTCTCATGCGACGTCTATCTAAGAAAACTGTTCCCGTTTTTATACTGGACTGTATATAAGCTTCTCTATTCTATTTGATTAGATTGTATAAAAGATACACAGATGAATGCCGCTGTTTAATACAAATTTAGAAGAGATATAGTACAGTCAAAGCATGAGCTAAACTTTCTATCATTCAATTGTCCTTCTAGGACTCGTCAGTGAAGCTAAGAGGCTAAATGTTTAATCTATGAGATGATACAAGAACATCCGAAGTGATTGAAATAAGGACCAAAACCTAGAGGTGTCATAGCCCCATTATTCATTAAATTTGATAAATTTGATATATCTGTTCAGTTTAAAAGAACGTCAAGTACACAGGTATATTTTGAATTGTGTCATTATTAGAAGGAATAGAATACATAAAGATCGGAGACGAGTATTCTACAAGCAGTGTCTCTCAGTTGTATTTTCCTAGATTGTATAAAAGAGAAAAAACATCATATAATTTCTGTGTTTGAAAATAATCATGACATTTTGCTCAGCTGTAGATATTTTTTATTGATTAATAACAAAAAGGATATATTTTTCTCGCTTGCATATTGCGCTCAATTTCGGGTATACTATTTACAAGGCCAAATTCGTTTACTTGAATATGAAAAAATGCCCACAAATTCAATGCATCTGTTAACAGCCCTAATCACCATTATGAATGACATGACAATCCAGTCTTCATTAAATGGTTTTCTACTTCAAGATATAAGCCCTAGAATTACACGATCACTTTCTCCGCAACAGAAAATATTCCAATTTTTTACCTTAATCAACGCAACAAGTATGATATGCTATTTGGATCAAATCTAAAACTGTCGGATGACATTTTTCGTTAGTTTGAAGTTTTTAATTTTGATGATCTGTAGTTACGTTATTACCTAATTATCTAATTATTCATTTATTATATATGTTTGGTAATATGTACAGAAATAAAGCAGTACGAATTCGAACTGTACATTTACTTTAATTTGATATGGCTTCATATAGTGCTCATTAACAGTACAACATATATAGTATTACCAAATAAAACACCTTTCGCTTGCATGCTGTGTTCATGGTACATTTCATTCTCTTTCCAGATTGCTTTCCGGGGAATTATGGCATTAACTGCAACAATATTTGTCCCGTGAACTGTGGAGACTCTATTTGTGAGAAGGACACTGGGTTTTGTTTTCGTATGTAATTGACATACATTATACATATATAGAGATAAATCGAAAGCAATGATAAAGACTGTAAAAATAAGTTTGCTGCAACTCGGAATTTGATAAAGAATATAACAGTTTGAACTTTATTCAGTATACATATCTAAAATCTTTGACATTTCACTTTCATGATTTTACTCGTGTGAAAAAAACCCTCTTTTGCTGATCTACTTTCATTCTCTCTATCACGGCATGCTTTTTCATTCTATGCCAATTTTTTAAATGTTTCCACATCTTCTCTCGGCCGTGCTCACTTCTTACCCTATTGCTCGAATTACTTCAGTACCATTTTGCAACTTTTCTCTTCGCAGCTAATGCTGTGACTAATCGGCTACTTATCTCGATCTTTTCCTTCAACGAAACCAACTTTGACAGCTGTCCACCAACTGTATGATGAATTGTTAATTGCCATTTTCCTATTGTGATTTTTTCATATCTTGATCGCAATATTTCCAACATGCATGTCGCTATTGATTGGATATTCAAGGGCTTGTTTCCATTATCACAATTTCTGCGGAAGAAGTCGTCAACTAACTTAAAAACTCGTAGTACAGGGTTTAGAATATGAAGGTTGGTGAAATTAATTACGGGGAAGCTTTATGGTCACCATAGCGATCTTATTGAGATTTTTTTTTCTTTTTACGATATATTGAAGCTTGACGTGTTTGATCCTCCTCAGTTGATTTCAAGTCGCCACACCTATATCAAAATTCAGAAAGCATTGCTTTCAAAACTTATAAAATGCGATTTGTTAGTTCAATTTTCTTATCATAACTCTAAAATTTGCAAAGCAATCAGTTATTTGTTCTGACGGAAATGCATTTGTCGATGAAAAGAGCAATTTCATTTGATATCATATTTATTATTACTATCAATCAAAAGAAACAAAGATTATAGCATCTTTCAAAACAAATGTAGAATGACATACATGTAAGTCAAATTATACAATAAACTCTATAATACAGCTCTTTCGCAGTTTTAGAACTCCTCAGTGATTCTTAATGCCTTGATTTGGAAAAACATGGTGACTGAGGAAAATCAAAATTGGTCGAAAGAAAGTCAAAATCTAAAAATAGAACTAGGCGCATAACTATTTCACATAGAGCAGAAGGAGGTCAAGTACTCGGGAACGAAAAGTCTTTCAGTAGTGTCTTCCACTTGCATTATCGAAGAGATGAGCTTCTTCCCACACAAATTTGGAATGATATATAGCTATTTTGCTTGATTTTCAACTATAAACAGGCATAAGAATATCGTTCTTTTTTTCTAGCATTACTGAAATGCCGAAAACAGCTTTGGTTGAATGTATTTTTCACTGGACTGTCCTGTGAATTGTAAGGATACTCTTAACTCATGAATCTTCATGCAAATCTGTTTCGTGCATATTTAACCCTAGGTTATTCGTATATGAGTTTGAGTTAAGCTTATGCACTCATGTCAGTATTTTGTATTTTCAGGATGCGTTTCCAGAAAACATGGTACCAAATGTGAAGATGACTGTCCTGTGAATTGTAAGGATACCTGTGGACAGGATACAGGAAATTGTAATGGTAAATTATATATTTAATTTGTTGATTTCCTGAACTACTATACAAATTAATCTAGATAAAAGTATGCATGTTTAAACAACAAGAAAAGGTGATGCATTATTGGTATTTCTAACATTCAACAGAATGAAATTCGTTTTGAACTTAATATCAAATAGATATATTTCGTCAACTGAAAACACCAGGTTCAGAGAGATAATGATTACGATCGTTTTAATAAGCTCATTGGAAAATATTTGTTTCCTTTTCCGATATTAAGTAAGACATGTCTGGTGTTAGTTTGTTTAGTGATTCCGTTATTAATTTGTTTTATTCTCATTTGAGAACGTGACACAACATTATTGGATTAACAAAAAAATACATGGCGAGTATCGTCGATTGAGCAATAGGTGCTACCCCTTCCCTAATATCTGGTCTTGTTCACTTTGAACTCATGAATCTCCATGCAAATGTGTTTCGTGCACATTTAACCCTAGGTTATTCGTATATGAGTTTGAGTTAAACTTATGCACTCATGTCAGTATTTTGTATTGTCAGAATGCGTTTCCGGAAAACATGGTACTACATGTGAAGGTGACTGTCCTGTGAATTGTAAGGATACATGTGAGCAGGATACGGGGAATTGTAATGGTAAGTCATATATTTAATTTGTTGATTTCGTGAAATGGGAATATTTGTTCCCTTTTCCGATATTAAGTAAGACGTGTCTGGTGTTAGTTAGTGTGTCTAGTGATTCCGTTTCTATACATGTTCCTTGTTGTCATTTTGGAACACTCCTTAGTTGGACGGACCAAAACTTACATGGCGAGTACCGTCGATTAAGCAGGAGTCGCTCCCTCTTCCGGAATACCTGGTCTTGTTCACTTTAAACTCTGTCATGGATCTCCATGTACTTCCGTTTACGGTATATTTTGTCATAATTTATTCTAATTTGAGTTTGAATTAAGATTATGCACTCATGTCAGTATTTCCTCCGGTGTGTTCCTGCCTGTCTGAATCATCAATATTATGTCCTATTGAAACGGACATCCTTCGTTCGTATACATGCATATTTCCAATATCTCAGTAAACACCACTCAATCAAAGAAACAATCAAATGAAGAAAACAAAAGACCTCACATCTTTATCAGAAAATATTAAAGATATATAAAAACATTTAATTTACATCTTTCAGGTATTAGATTCTTCATTAATCTGATGCGATTGCACTTTTTGAAGTCTTCTTGAAAATATGAGAACAAATTTTGACAAAGTTGTTAAACTAATTGTAATACAAGGTAGAGTTTAAAGGAAAGTTGTTACTCTATCTAGATTACTAAATTGAATAGGAATTAGTTCATGGAATGTATTTCATATAATCAGGATGCGTTTCCGGAAAACGTGGTCCTACATGTGAAGATGACTGTCCTGTGAATTGTAAGGATGCATGTGAGCAGTATACCGGGAATTGTAATGGTGAGATATCAATTTTATTTTGTTGATTCTCTGAGCTGATATTCGTCATTTTGTCGAACATGTTTATACTGTATTTTATATTGACATGGTATGAAAATCTTATTTCATCGCATTGGAGCTTAAGTTAACATTTTGTTCTCATGTCAGTTATTTCTCTGGTGTTGTTCAGGATGTGTTTCTGGAAGACGTGGTACTACATGTGAAGATGACTGTCCTGTGAATTGTAAAAATACATGTGAGCAGGAAACGGGGAATTGTAGTGGTAAGTTATATGTTATATTTGTTAATTCTCCAAGTTACTCGTTTAGGTGAGGACGTCTATTTGCCATGGGTGAAATTAGACATATAACGTCATGTAAATTAAAATCTCTCAATGTTTTGTTTATGTGTCTTACCTCTTTTAGAATCGCCCATACTTCCATATCAAAAGTAACTTTGTTTTCATGGGCATCAACATTTCCTTTGTATATCATGATTGTTACACAGAATAGCAAACAAATAATAACTGTACCATCAACTATCAAAGGCGAATAGATGTCTTTCATTTTTATAGGTATTATAATAAAACTGAGTAAAACGCAAACAGCACTCAATCAAACAAACAAAAAACAAAAGACCTTACATCTATTGGTAGATACCTACATGGATTTAAATTTGATTTGATATTAATTTTAAGACTCCTAAAAGGTTTGACGATAATTTTGGATTTAGTCTATCAGATAATTGTAAGGTAATATTGTATCTTAAAGACAGCTGGTACTGTGCTTGATTAAAAACATTTTGAAAAGGTTATATACTGGATCGTCACAACTGCATTAGTTGAAGAGATGTTCAAACATTACAACCGCAATATCAAGAAGAATCACCTATTGTAACAGGGTTAACGAAAGAAGTAGTGATTATATTCCTCTTTATAAGAGCAACTCTAGCAAGCAGGAATATCTAATATAGCGACAGTAACAGAAATACTTATTGCAATCCTCAGTAGGAATGTCACACTAACAAGCTGGACTATATCTAAATTACTGACGCAGTTTGATATGATAATGTATATCCATTAATGGGTTAAAATTGGTTTTCATTGACACAATGGATGATATGAGAAAAATGCACCTTAAATCATTGCATTCTGTAGAAGTGTAGGAAAAAACATCTTGTGTAATTTTTGATATGTCAAAGATAAGAAACGGTGTAACAATCAACGCACGGATCATTGGCGTATCAGTGAGCTCCGAGGTCTTTGACTTAAATGTTATGTCTTATTTTCCGCTTTAAGCCCGTGATGATAACGAGCTACGTCTATTTACGGTTTTTCATCATTTGGTGAATAGACATATTGTTGTATTTCATATCATTAGGGCTTTTCGCCATTATATGAAAAGGCCTATTGGTTGCGATATGTTTGTTCTTAATCCTTTTTTTAACTTCCTTCGTATGTTTGACCTCTTAATGTTTTGACGATCGCAGTTTGCAGTGTATGAAATAGGACGTGGATTAAATGTGTTATTACGCTGTTTTCAAAGTAAATGAATTCAAATATGTGGACAAAGACGTCATATGTCAATTTTACAAAAAGGCCATCAATTAAAAAGCCGTTGACTGGACAGTTTATTATGCCGAATTAAAATCGTCGCTGTTGTGTCAAGCGTTATTAAATGTTCGACTTTTTCACTTTCCAATTTTGTGGAGAAACTAAAATCGATAGCTGATGTCAATCCGATGAATTGGATACCTTCAATTTTCTGTAACGTTTACCATCAAGAGTGTTTGTCATTTGGAAGATTTCCTTTCATATTTGTGAAATGTCTAATTTACAACAGATATCCTACATGTGGTAGCATTTTGGCCTTACTCCATTGGTAAGGGTGTTATTTTGGGTGGCAAACTTTAAAGAAATGTTTAGAGTCTTAATATTTTATATGTTACACGTTTGATAAATGAACGATCAGTGTTTTGATAATGTATGACATTGCCCTGAGTACTGTTCAAAAGGGCAAACTATCTAAAACTATATAAACTCTGAAGTAAGCGAGAGACACATGACAGTGTCAGTAGTATACTTCAAATAGTTGCTAAGATAAAACCGTTAAGATGTATTGTGTAGCAAGCTATCGTCCATTTTTTATGATTCAAAATCCTGAATTTCCTTTCAGGCTATACAAGACTTAGAGTATTACTATTTAAAATAAAATATGCAGAAGTGGTTGACTGTGAATGCTATGAAAAATGAATTCCCTTGACTTACTTTCAAAAGAATCAAGTATGTTAGAATGTAAATGTTTTATTATAAATAAACAAGAGGTACTCGTTGAATATGAAATCGTTCACAAAGGAAACTATTCCAAACTTCTGAAAGATTTGAAGTATGTCAGGTATGAAGCCTATTCGGAGGTTATAGCAAGGGCCATATATGACATCCAAGAGACGTACAAGGAATATTGCCTTCCATATATATGAAACGCTACCGTTGCATAACTTGTTCCAAAACATTAACTTCTGTGTTTCTATCGCGTTACATATTGACGGTATACCAAGTGATTGGGTGGTTGCCAAAGTCGATGATGTTTTTGGAAGACCAAGACATCGTCTACATGCGTATCTTAGTGTTTTCTCTAACTCTAGAATAGCATTTTTTGTGTAAGAGTTCCATAATTCGCAGCCATACAGCATAGTTGGTAATACTACAAGTTTTACAATGTTTGCACTAATTAACGGATGCCTTCCAGTTTGATCATTCCGATTCCTACCAATGAGTTTAGTGATTTCCGTCCCTTTTTACCTGCTTCAATCATTGAACAAGTCGAATTGAGATTCGAGGTAAATCCTACACCTGAATAGGTTTTTGTTGTTGTCCACTGTATTTCCTTATTTCCAACAGTTAACGTCCGTGAGGGAGATCCTACACGCGATCGGCTAGCGGAAAATGCCACCAAAGAGCTTTTATTGGAGTTGTATATAAATCTCCATTGACAAGAGTATTTGTAAACGATATCCAGTTCATTTTGTAGCAACTGCATTGATGCAGCAAGAACCAGCGTGTCATCAGCCTGCAATATACAAGGTATATGGATGTTGCTTATCAGCAGACCAGAATGCCCAACGTCAAGTTGCAATGCGAGGTCATCTATCATTACCAAAAAGCACCACGCTGACAGCACTCGGCCTTGACCGACGCCTTGCAGGATTTGGTACTGATCACTTCGCCTCCCGTCGTACAAGACAGTAGAAAATTCATCAATGAAAGAGTCGTATAAAGTCGCCAGCATTTGCCATTGATGCCAAGGTGGTACAATTTAAACATCAGCCCACGGATCCAAACACTGTTGAACGCCTTCTGGTTTTCCAAAAGGCGGCAAAAACTTTTGATTTCTTTCAAGATAGTACGCGATCGATTCTTTCACCGCAAAAAAGCAGCGGTGATACTACCACATTGTTCGCGGAAGCCCTGCTGTAACGGGTGAGGAAATATAGTACCTTTGCTGGATAAAAGGATACGTTTATACAGTATTTTTTCAAATAATTTCTGTACACAATGTAAGTGTTATGTCCCTATAGTTGTTCATATCAAGTGATCGCACTTTTCCCACCCTTGAACAGAGTTATGACAACACCCAATTTGAAATGGCTTGGGTACACTCCGAACTTTAGCATCCCATTATATATGTCGACTATGGCATCTATCAGACTGTCACTGGCGAATTTGATGTGCTCCGTCACGATAGAGTCGTGACCACTAGCCTTTCCATTTTTCATATCTTTAAGACATTGTGGTTCTGGGTAGCTACAAATATTGCCGTCATTGGAGAAGCTAGCAGTGTGCATGGATTCAACACTTCCTTCTACGTATTCTTTGAAACTTTTGCTAAAATGCGGTTGACATGTTAGTTTGGCTAATTCACGGCATCTTTGCATCCACGCATTCCTCACTTCATCGGGGTCGCGTATAATTTTACCGTCAACACGAAGTTCATGTGATGTGACATTGCTATTGTTAGACAGCTTCCTCTTTGTTCTGACGGCCTGGTGAAACGTTCCGATGTCAATATAGTACTCTTCAAGTTTTTGAACTGCTTGCGCTCATACTCTTCACGTGCTTTAACAAGTTCAGTACGAAACATCGTTTTCAGCATTTTTATAGTTCCGATATGAAACGAATTGAAAACCTCTTGGTCGCCCTTCGTTTATCCAGATTGCTCGCAAATGTCTCATAGTATTATGTAGAGACTTTACATTGTAATCTTTCCAGTACGGCTTTAGATAATGTCGATACCTTCTACTAGGGAGAGCAGAAGACGAAGCATTATTTAGTATGTCAACAACACTTTTAACGGCTTGGTTGATGCTGTTACTACTGTTGAGTCAATATGGTGATCCTTCATTATAATATCTACTAGCCTTTTGTATTCCCTAACATTTTCATCGGAGACTTTTTTCCAGTTCACGCTACGAGGTGACACATTGTAGCATGTTTGGT